GCCCGGTACGGGAGCCCTCCGTGGGCACCGGCAGCGCCTTTAGCCCCGGCTCTGCCCCCCCGGGGGCCCGCGTTGTTGAGGGGCGCGTTGCGAGGGGCACCCCACAGCCCACCCGCGCTCCGCAGCCTCCTTGCGTTCTGGCACGTTGTGCCCGTCTGTCCGGATTTATTCAAAGTGTTATTATTGCTTCAGAAATTACGACATCTAAGACCATCTTTTAATAACTAAGTAAACTGCTGCGGTAGGCCCTGCGTTGCCAGTGTGCTCTATCCACGGGGTTTTGGGAGCCGGACCGCTGCATCGGCTGCCCTTAGGGATTCGTGAGTGTGTTGCGGTGCTGTCTTCTTCCCTTTGCTCTTTCAGATGTGCTTAAGCCCTTTGCTAAATTTAAATAGGCTGTCTCAGGGTAAAAGGTGAGGTATAACTAAATTTAAGTCCTGTGCCGTGCAATAGGTAAGCTTTGTTTTCAATCCAATTGGTAACGGGCCAGGAAATGGGCTCAAGCTGCGGCAGGGGAGGTTTAGGTTGGATATTAGGAAAAACTTCTTCATGGAAAGGGTGGTCAAGCATTGGAACAGGCTGCCCAGAGAGGTGGGGGAGTCCCCATCCCTGGAAGTGTTCAAAAATCGGGCAGAGGTGGCACTTCGGGACACGGTTTAGTCTAGTCTACCCTTAACTGGTTTAGAGTGGACTCTGTAGTGTAGGTTAATGGTTGGGCTGGATGATCTTAAAGGTCTTTTCCAACCTAAATGATTCTATGATTCAATGATTACTCTTTTGGTAATCTCAGATGACTTGCTATCAAAAAACTGATTAAAATACCCAAAGAAAATCTATGCTGTTACCTCATTTTCAAACTCTGTCCCTTTCCTCAACTTTTAAAATACTGTATTGTATCATGGAATAAACTGTAGAAGGCAGATATCAGTTTATTCATCAAGTTTCTTAGGGATTTTGATTTTTGTTGTCCGTGGTAACATTTTACAATGTTAAAATGACCGTATGTGAAGTTATACCTTTAAGTGGTAGCGTTTAGATCCCACTTGAAAAACTGCAGATACACCCTTAACAGTAGACTTGAAGCTCTTGCTGCCAAGTGGTGTTTTCGGGCGTCACTGGGGCTGGGGTGCGGGCTTGGTGCGTTAGGTTGGGCAGAGGTTTCTTCCCGAGCTCTTGCTGACCGTACCCACCCCGGCGCAGCCTGTGTCCAGTTACTGCAAGAGCTGTTCAGCTTGCCTGTCGCTGGTTTCTGTTTCCTAATTATTCCGTAAAGGGATTTAAAACTGTCTTTAAAAGCCTGATATCCTCTCTTATCTGAAGTTTCACAGACTTTGGATGTAAGCGCTATTCTAACTGGTTCAGAAGTGAAACGATGGATTTTTAGCTAGAAAATTGCAGGTCAAGAGTAGGGGAAAAAGTTCCCTGTTTTTCAGAATATAAAAGAAGTAAGTGTGAGTTTGCTTGCTAGTCCTTGCTGTCAGCGACATTCCCTTCAGGAGGCTGGCTCAAGATGTTACCAAAGCCACAGGGTGGGAATTCTGCATCCCCACAGTCGGATGTGGTTTCCAGTGAGCAAACCCATCTCCTTGGTCTATAGAGCGGCTCACAGGGCTCCATACTTTGCCGATGAAATAACGTTAGCCAGGGTTGTTGGAGACGTTCTGAAGTGATAGCCACCTGTTGTTGATGTGATGCTAGAAAATTAACTTTCATATTTTTGTTAAGGAGGCATGAGCAAGTTGGTGATGTCCGTAGCAATAGATGGTATCAGAAGATTGTCTTGTGTCCAGTACAATTTCTCATTAAAAGCTTATGTCTGCTTGCCACTGATTATTTTCAAGGATTCCCTTGAAATAACCTTAAAATAGCATTTTTGTCTTCATCATGGCTCATGACCAGCGATTGCCAGAGTTTTTGTTGTTCTGCTTTTATGGTATTTTTAACAGGGGCGTGAGGGTTTGAGTCCGTATGTATTGAGCAGCCTCAGCTCTCCCCGTAGCTCGGTGTAGCTCTGACTTGGACACATTAGCAGCGTAACAGCTCTTGCCAATGCGGAGCCACTGTGGCTTTTTAATGTTGTGATTTGACACTGCTGTGAATTATGTAGTTACTTTTTCCGATGTGATAAGAGTAGATTTAATATCTCTATTCAGATATTACCAGTGTGCCATTACAATTAGCTGCCCATTTTTTTTCCCCATTTTAAAAGTATTTCCCTTTAAGCGCTGCCAGCTGATACAGAGGCTGTTCTGGCTGTGTTTGGATAGCTCTGTTTCTAACACTGCTTTTCTTGTGGTGATGGAAATTTAACCTATATTAATGCCACTTCAGCTGTGTTTGCAGAGTAATCCTGTTCTCACTTGAATCATTTGAATCTTGCCCCTTAAAGTCTTTTCTGTAATCCATAAAGCTTTTTTTTTTTGTTTTATCCATAAGTTTAATAGATGGAAAAGGTTAATATAACTAAACGCTGTGAAGTTATTCTCACTTCAGTAATCTGAGCACACTGTTTGCCCTGATTTGCAGGTTATGTGAGTCGATCGGTTTTTCTAAGCCCCATAGAGGCTTTTCTCGACCGGTATTTCGCTCAAGCAATAAATAAATCTGCTGACGTGTATGTTCTGCCGTGTTTGCTTATTCTTGACCTTTGCTTTTTAGCCATGCAAGGGACAGTTTCAGTCGTGACGTTGTGTAACTGGGTGTTTACGCATTGACAAGCATCTTTGATTTGCATTCTTAAAATTTGTGCCTGTTGCAGCTGATCGGTTGTTCAGAGTAACATAGGATGTGGGTAAGGGTTTCAGGGTTAGTAACGAAGAAACCAAGGACTCCTAGCGCTTTGTCGTCTTCAACCAGGGATGCAAATATGGACTGAAAAGATGTTGTTCCAGTACAAGCAAACGTAATTAGAATATTCTTTCCTCCTCTATCCATATTATCTTTCTGTGATATACCTGTTGTCGTGTAGTGGAGAAACTCTGTTCGTTGCCATGAGTGTAATTGCTGTGACAGATGCCTGGATTTTGAGCTGGTTCTGACCTGTGTTTCGACTACTGTGTTCTGTGCTCCAGGTCAGAGCTGCCCTAAAGTCATCTTGCGACCAAGGTACTGCTGCAGGGACGAAATGAGCACGGCAAGACAGCCTGCAGTGGTGTGGATGCCTCTGCCAGCTGCACTTAGCAGTGCAGTCCGGTTTCTCCAGGGTAGTCGGGCTCCAACATCCCCCAACGTTAGCAGGGGTTATGCTCCAGTAGGAATTAGCTGGCTAAACGCTTCTAAGGATGTTGCCCTTCAGTCTTTCAAGAGGTTTTCACGCTAGATACTAACTCACTGTGTCAAACTGGTGCTTTCAGTGTGATTATCCTCACTTTAGATAATGAGGAAATTAAGATGAAAGCTAAGAAATTAATCGCTCGTGGCTGCGCAGTGAACCTAGTAATGGCTTTATTCTTGCGCCCCAAAGCATCGCTTTGGCAGTAGCGGCGGTTGCTCCTCTGTGCTACCTGTCCTCCTGGGCACTCAAGGTGTGCCAAAGCTATCCCGACACCTCCGCCGTGGCCGCTTCTTTGGAAGCAGCCCTGCCTTTGGTGGCAGAGGGGTTTTTTTGGGGGGCAGGAACAACCGCATTCATCAGTCTGTGCAATCCATCCTGGCCACTTGCTTCTTTCCCAGGGACGAGCATAGCAGCCTTATATTTTTTTAACCATACCACAAAGAAGGGATATTTGTGGAGTAGCAGAGCTTCATCCTGGTGTCCTGCCTGCGATGGTCTGCTGAAGTTGGCTGACGGTTGTATGGCGCAGCTAGAGCGTTGGTTATAGTCATCCTGGCTGCTCTCAGCCCAACCTTCTGTTCTTGAATCTAAGCTGAAGGAATTCGGTGGGAAATATGATGTTCTAGAGTCCCTTTTTAAACATAAGTTTTGCATTTAAGGTGTAAATTGTGGCAGCCTGTGCAGGACAGTACAGGAGGTCATGGTCTTTGAATGGCAATTCTGGTGCTTTGTGCTAAGTAGTTGTTTCCCATTACAAGCCAAACAGACAGGTTCTGTGCAGGCAATAGGGATTTATTTGGTATGAAACCTCTCTGGATTCAATTTCACAAAACTTGTTCTCTTATCGCTTCTGCTTCAGACCCCAGCAGCTCCCAAGGGCAGCTGGAGCACTGGCTCTGCACTGACACCCCTCTATTGCCCTCTCACAAGTGCCACTTCTTTCCCAGTTTAAAAGTTTATATGAAGATCCCTTTTGAAATCCTCAGGGGAACATCACACACCTCCACCAAACTGTACTTAAGATAAAACTATTTTTACTTCTTGCAAAGACTTGTGTCCACGTAGCATTTTCCAAGGGGAGGAAAAGGTCTTTGCTGTTGAATTACAAGGTCTGGATTCTGTTTTCCATTTCTACGCTAATTTTTTTTTAATGTGTTGTGGGGTCACTTAACTGGTCCATGATACAGTTTACCAGAATAAAATTGTTTATTTTTCACCTAGGACTTTGAATTACTTCTGTTACCTCTAAATATCTTACGGTGTTTAATGTGCTGTTCTGACAGATCTTAAATGCTTTATATTTTCTGTTTATTTCAGACTATAAGATTCAGATATGTCCTTCATATTTGATTGGATTTACAGTGGTTTCAGCAGTGTATTACAGTTTTTAGGTAAGTTTTTATTGTTTGGGGGTTTTCCTTTCTGTTATTCTTGTATAAAATGTCTGTTCACCTCTGTTATCTTCAAACATAGCTGCTGGTTAAATAATAATATTTGTTTTGGTGTATATTCAGTAACACTCAAACAAAAGTTTCATTTACCTGTACTGACTATTGCCAGAGTGTGCTCTCCACTCAATCTTATGTTAACCCTTTAACCTCTTGAAAAAAATTGTATTTTCTTTAATGAATATAATAGGTTTGATTTTCCCCCTGTCCCCCAGTCATACACATTTAAGCTGGTGTAATTCAGTTGACTTTTATGGAGTTTCTCTTTTCGCTGCTGTAAAGAACTGAACTCAGTTATTTTAGCTCAGTTCTTTTGCACATGAGGGTATCGCTTGAGAATCCAAATATGAGGAACTGTCTGCAAAAAAATTAGTGCTGGATATTGAAGGCCTTGCTCACGTTCAGCAGTGCGTTATTCTGTGATTGGTGTCACTGAAATCAGAGTGAAACTTCACTGGCATCTGCTGAAGGGCCTCAGGAAAGTATTCCCTAGCCAAAAGAGTCTGCAATCTATTATCAATTCAAGGTGAAATATTAGCTTGTGCAAAACAGGAGGAAAAAAAAAGTGTGGTAGCGGGGGAAACAAACCAACCAGGAGGAAAAGGAATGTTAGGATACTGAAAAAGGAACAGAAGTTGCAGATCACATGGGTAAAAGGCACAGTTTACAAGTTTGAAGGATTTTATTGAAGTGGATAAAAAGCATTTGACATTAAGGAATCATGGCAAGCTGTGCCACCTGCCTTTTATCAGTTGAAAGTTTAAACTTTTTCACTGAATGTTAGACCCTTGACCTACTATCAAAATATTAGCCAGTGAAATTTTAACTAAGTTGACTAATCTTTCTTATCTCCTCTTACTTAGCCGAGCAGTGATTACTGCACGCTGGCCTCCTTTCCCATTCCTGTGCATGCAAAGTCTAATTCTGGTGAAAGATACTGGAGCTTGAAGTAGGAAGGAGAATTACTTTCAATATGCTCCTTTTCTAGAAGAAAAACTTTCCCTTTTCATTCTCACTTACATTTATAGTTGAAAAAGGCCAATCATAATATCTGGGAAACTCCCCGCAGTTCCCTGTGCTGTCCTGTCAGCAGGCTGATGAGATCACTTTATGGAATACATCTTTGCACATGTATACTTCTAGAATGCACAAAGAATCTTTTTTTATATATATATATAAACAAACTCTGGTCTTGGTGTAGCTAATAGCTGAAGTATTGCTGCTTGCTTGTCCTGTGTTTCTATGAAAGACACTTGGGAAGTGTGAAATGTTTCGGAGAAAGCAGCGGCACCTGATTTGGGAGCAAAGGCTCCTGGATGTCCAGGCTGAGAGTGGCAGAAGTATTATTGTTTTACTGTGGTTTAGTAGGGTTTTGTTCAACTCATAACGTAAGTGTGAACTGGAGTTTCTCCTGTGACATAAATTAATATATGAAAATGTCCACTCCTTTCTCTGTAAACATGAATACTTTCTCCTCTACTCTGTAGTTTAGTAGTTATATATATTTGGGAGTGTGAGAAGGTGAGTTTGGGAAGTTGGAGTTGTTGTATTTGAAGGAACTGTGAAGACACTCTACAGTACCTGTAGTAATAAAGTTCATTAATGAAATAAGCTGAGGAATATGAAATAATATTCATTCCTGCAAGTTACAAAACCTGGCATGCTGGAATGCGATCCCAGAGATTAGCTTAAAGGCAGGGGGAGAGGTGAGCAAACACCAGCAGTGTAAAGGTCGGCCAGGCAGAGGCACGTGTGCGCCCGTGATGCTGCGGCATCAACGGGGCTGTCCGAGTAGCCACTGTGCAGCAGCATTGCTTAAAATCCCATCAAATAAAACATATATGAGGATAACACATTACACAAGTTGAAAAAAAGGAGGCTCCAGAAACTGCTGTTACTGGTTGCTCTGCTGCCCGCTAGCCTCCTCATGCGGAGGGACCCAGGGCAGCTGTCAGTGTGCCCTTTGGATGGCTACCAGCCGCTTGGCTGGGATGGCTGAGCTTTAACAGTAAAATCTGACCATGTACTTCACAAAATGTTTCTGTATCATTGCATGGTGGTAAAATAAACTCTCTTCAGCATATTGCAACGTACCACAATACTATGACGTTATATAGTAAAAGATCCTGGTCACTTAACAACTCCCACAGTACAATATTTGGCTGTATCTTGCAGTTCTTTTGCAGAAAGAAGAGAGAATTCTGTTAGGAACAGAGCCTAGTTTTGCTTTTAAAAAGATGGAATTTCAGCACATACATATATATTTTTTCCCACCCTCTTTTGCAAGTGTTCTGCCCTCTACAGCACTCCTGAAGGCTGTGGGTCAGTACTGGTTCCTAAGGAGATGTGCACTGTGTGGTATCCAGCCACAGCTCTTTGAAGAGGGAGTAAGGGAAGATTTTCTCCTTAAAGTCAAAGCTAAGAGACTCTTACTTCAGTAGTTTTTCAGTACAGTATGTGATTTATTTTTTTTAAATGAAATTTGTCTTAAAAATGTTTTACTTTGAGTGTCAATCAGTTTGAAGCATTGAAAAATAATCCTGGCATAGGATATAGTGTTGGCAGGTTTAAGAGAATCACTCCTTGATAACCTCAAACTTAAGAAAATAGAGTGTTCATGTTTTACACATCCTTCCTGTCCTTCACAGCAACTCTTGCATTTACTGGCGTTACAAATAGAGGAAAAAGGGGAAAAGGCATTTTTATGAAGATGACAATAGGTGAAAATAAAACTTCTTATTCCTGTTACAAAAGCATTATCATATGACAGCAAGTGTATAAGAATTGCCCTGATGATGCTATTCAGGATATATCCATATAATTGACCTGGGGATTTGGGTGAATGTTACTTTTTGTCAAAATAATACATGAACCAACATAAAAGAATTCATACATATATACTAATTATGACTGTTGACATTGAAATTAATTTCTCTCTAATATACCCATTGAGGTCTCAACTTTCTTTTTTGCCTCGAACAAGATTTTTGTCATAATTGGAGGTAGCTGAACAAAACACCCTGTGTTCAGGTTCAGGATGGTCCGTATTTTAGAGGCCGCTGTCAGCATTGTACCTGCATGCCCCCCTTTCCATCACCTGTGAACAAAACTGTCCTTTTGCTGGGGCAGAGTAGGCTGCACTGGCAACATTTAGTCCTGTTTTGCTGTGGCTTTCCTAAGATGGTGTAAATGCATTTACACGAGTGACACGTTTCCATCAATTGTGTGTCTCTCCCCCACAAAGTGTCACATAAGCTGTGTGTGGTACACATAGTGCAGCAGGCACGTGAGCAAGTGTGAATGTAGTTTGTACGAGTAGAACACAGATAAAGGGCATTGATAAAGTGCGGCGGAGCTTGGCCGGTCTGTATTTTGTACCGTGACTGTAACACTTTGCTCCTGGGAGCAAAAGCATCTCTAGTGCTAGAAATTAACTCCTACCAATTTAACTGATTAATCAGCAGGTCCTTCTTTTTTTCTAGGACTGTACAAGAAATCGGGCAAACTAGTGTTTCTTGGACTGGACAATGCTGGAAAAACTACACTGCTGCACATGCTCAAAGATGACAGGCTGGGACAACACGTCCCCACGTTACACCCCAGTAAGTTAATATTGCTGGGTCCATAGCTAGGAAGTATTTAAAGGATTGCAGGAAAAGCAGGATCTGATTATACATCATAAGACCAATGGTGTGACTGGGGAAAAAAGAAAGGAATTTCTGGGATAGCAGTCTGTAGATAGTTCAAGTAATATCCAGAAAAATGTGTATAGGTTAGTTCAGTGAGGTATATTTAAAAGTAATTGATGAGTAACAAGCAGAATGATGGAGCTGAGAGTCTAGATTACTGAAGCTGTGGGAAATTGGGGCTTGGAGTGTTTGGGAGTGGCTTCTCTGTGCAGCTGGAAAATTAGCATTTCTGTACATGGTTTTGATTTTTTTGGCTCAGAGGTTGCTGTGTAATTGTAATCCTGGTAGCCTCACAGAAGGAGAAAGTTCAACTCAGGTTAAAAATGTGGATTGGAGAAGTCCAGAAAGGAGGTGAGAAACTGGGAAAGGATGTGAAGAGGAGAAACCTTGGACAGTATCGTATATGAAGTGCCATCTTTGTGGCAAACCAGATGCCAGAGCCAACTGTTGTTTGTGTAATGTGTAGGGATAAATAACATGTGAATATTCTCTGCTATTCGTAGCATTGTAGATATTTTGCACGTGTTTTAACAGCAAAATGCTGTTAACCATTAAACAAACGTGTCACTGATTTTGAGAGAAAATGTGTTTCTCTGATTTGTTTCTTGAATAACAAAATACTGAAAAGACCCAAGACAGAAAGTAAAATCTACATGCTAGAAGGTTAGACTGTTCTAATGCACTGCATAATCTTCACAGAGAACATGATTTTGTGTATTTCTAGCTTCAGAAGAGCTGACAATTGCTGGCATGACTTTCACTACCTTTGATCTGGGCGGACATGCTCAAGGTAAGAGAATATGTTGACTCAGTTCACTGAATTGAGTTAGAGTTGGCTACAGTCCGTTTGTTTCAGATCAGAAATATGATCATGCTGCAGAGATCAACTTCCCACGCTTGCTTTGACAGTATAAAAGAAAGGTTCACTGCTCTGTTGTCCGTCTCCACCATTTATCACAAATCCCAAATACAATTTGGCAAGAGCTGCAGTAGAGCATAAGTTTTTGACTGATACCTGTATTTTGAAGAGGATTCTGTACTTTGAATCACTTATTTTTACCTTAAGCTCTATGCTTCAAACTTACCTTTGTTGACATAATTCTTGGGGAAACACAAAAAGTTTCAGTACATCAGTGTGTATGTGGGATAGATGGAGTGGTGATAACAGTAAAGGGAACGATGCTTTTGCTCCATTATTTCAAGTTTTGTAAAACATGAAATTGCATCCTAAAGACTGGCAATATAAGCTAAGAGACTTCAGAAAAAAACCCTGTTGCTTCTTAATTACTGATGTGCATTGCTCTGAATTTTGGGATAATTTCCTTTTGTGTTTAATTCACATCTTCCCTGTAGCTCGCAGAGTGTGGAAAAACTATCTGCCTGCGATTAATGGCATTGTGTTCTTGGTGGACTGTGCAGACCATGAAAGATTGCTTGAATCAAAAGAAGAACTTGATGTAAGTTTAAATAAGTTTTTGAAAGTTTTAACTTTAACTTCTAAGAAATAAGCTCAAATTCCCAGTATCCAACAGAGCTCTGCTGCCACCTGGACATGAGCAGTAGCAATTGGCCCTTGTATATTCTAAATTAATCTCTCCTCCTTTCTCCTTTCCTTTGTAGTCATTAATGACAGACGAAACTATTGCTAATGTGCCTATCCTAATTCTTGGTAACAAGATTGACAGACCTGAAGCTATTAGTGAAGAGAGGTTACGAGAGATGTTTGGTCTGTATGGCCAGACAACAGGAAAGGTAATGCTCCTTTTTTTTGGCGGCTTTTGGTTTTTTGTTAGGGATTTTGTTTGCCTTATTTGCGTGTTGACTTCAGTTCACTCCAGCTACACAAAATAAACGGGTTTTAATTTATTAAGTACTTGGTACGTAATAACTGTGTATGGAATGAATGAATTGTGGAGTCTTTTTTGTGTGTTAGATACATCTCTGCTACAACTTTTTCACGTCCTATTTGATGCCACATTTCTCCAGAGGAAAACTTAATTGTACTTAGGATAACTTTTAGTACTTCAACTTTCCTATGCAGTACTTTAAAAGGATGAGCAAGTTTTCAGAGGCCATAGTTCTAGTGAGAGCTATAAGAGAAAACTGGTTAAAGTATCTTAGTAAGTGACTTTTCTCATTTAAAGTGCAGACTTGGTACAATTTGTTACTTAACATGTTTACCTAAAGCTTAGACATAGATTTACACCATTGCGGAAGTCTGAGTTTGTAGGGTGTGAAGGGAAAAAGAGAAGTTCCTACTGGCATCGGTAGCAACAAGGCAGATTTATATTATGGCTCTTTAATGCTTCAATTCTTCTTAATTTAAAGTAAATACAGTGTACTACGTATAGGAGGCGTTTGGATACAGGGCAGTAGAAACAAGTTGCTCCGTTGTCCTTTGCCCTTGAAAGGGCACCTCTCTGCAGTGGACAAAGCCATCCCAGCTCCCATTAGATGACCAGCAGTGTGGCTCTGCTGAGGAGGGCGCCTGATCTTGTAATTCCTCTTTTTCTCTAAGAGTATTTACTCTTAGATCCTTCCCTTAAAGTTCAGTGCCATCAGAGTTTACGTTGAGCAGAAACAAATCTTTACCTTTGTGTTTTCCATGTGAAAGAGAATTTGCGCAGGTGAGTTCTAGGATAGGTGTAACGACCTATAAAGAGTTACTACTGACTTTTTTTGTCTTGCCCTGGTTCTTACAACACATAGTCTATGAAGTGTGACTACTGTTGTGAATCTCCAGTTGAGCAACAGCTTTAATGCACTGTGCTGATCTTGGCGAGCAAGCAACTTGCACTCTTGCTATGGTCAGTCCTACAACTGGTAGCAAATGTTCTTAATCTGGCTGGAAAGGTATTGGGAACAGAGCAGGGAACTGTGACTGAAAACTGAGTATAAGCTCTCAGATTCTCTGTGCATACGCTTGCTGTTGCACTCTGGTTTCAGGTACTTCACCCTCTCCAGATGTGGATGCATATGAAAACATGCTCAGTGTATTTCTCAAGTAACTAAGATTAGGGTCACATGTACAAGTGTTAGATAAATTTATTTTCTAAAATTCCAGTATCCAACACAAGTTAAACAATGGCATTCCATAGAAACCAATGTCCCTGTAAAGTAGCTGTCTGTTTATAACAATACTGTAACTTGGAACATTTCTGTCTCTCTGCAGGGCAGTATACCACTGAAAGAATTGAACGCAAGGCCACTAGAAGTGTTTATGTGCAGCGTGCTAAAGAGACAAGGCTATGGGGAAGGCTTCCGTTGGATGGCACAGTACATTGATTAATGCCAAAATCGCATCGTACATTCTGTCCTGTGTCTGAATATTAAGTCTGCTCCTTATTTGATCACTCAGTGTACGTAACTTGAATTCATTTGACTGTTTAGTTTATAAAAAAAATATACCTTTTTAGCCAATTATATCACATATGCTAAATTGTAAGTGTGAGGATTGAAAAATTATTTCAAGCAAGTTTGTAAGTTTAAGTACTGCAACCTGTGAGCTTTCTAATCCCATGCAACATTCTTTTGCAGCTTTTAATTTAACAAGTCTCCAGCACCGTTTTTGGTCAGAGCAACTTTCCAGTACAGTATGTTTGAATGCACTTTTTAACAGCTAAAAACTACGAACATGTGAAAGATATTTAATGCTTATGTTAAATTTTTTTATGTACTTTTTTGAAACTGGTTTTATAACTTTAGAGTATATAACCATCTTTCAAGGAATAATAAATAATTAGCTGATGGATAATTGCATGATGCCTTACGGTTTTCAATAATATACTTTCTTATGCAACGTCATGCAATAAATTTAAATCCAGTTTTTGGCAACTTCAATGGAAAATGTTTCATTTTAATGTGTCTTAATTAGCAAGGCTGCCTGATGATCTGAGTATGTGGGATATTTTCCTGAAACACAGAAGGCCACAAAGTAGTTTCATTGTATGTTGGAGTAAGGGGTTTTTTTCAGACTACCAAATTGCATTTGTTTTAGGATTTTGCGTTAATAAAGGAAAAATCTAATCCAATGCCCTTATAACCACCACCTTTAAAAAGTACAAATAATGCAAATCAGCTGTGCCAATGTAAATCTTGAACTAATGTCAAAAGTGGTCTTAACCCTACTGGTCTCCTGAATTAAACCCCTGAAGTGATACAAGAAATACAGGGGATTTTCGGAAGAAATTAAGAATACCACTGCACTAAATATTCTGTTCCTAATTTAATTAGATTTGGGGTCTACCAGAAGATTTGCCTGTGAAATTGCCAGGGGGAAAAAAAAGTTGCCACTTGCTGTTTGTGAAAATTTATCAGCCCACACCCAATCGGCCAATTTTATTTTTGGTGGTTTGAACTGGGACAAGATGAATTGTTTTCTGTGGTTTTGCCCTGAAACCTAGCCAGTGTGGCAGCTGCTGGCTGCCCAGGTGGCTTATTTGTGGGGTAAAATTTGGTCCTTGTTTCCAGACTTCTGACTGTGTTTTCCCTGTCTTTGAGTGTATTAATTCCCCGAGGAGAAAGCAGGTTGTTTTTGAAGACGGGGTGTTGAAGCATATGTCCGTCAATGTCTTGTTGGTGCTGGCTGACACTGCTGGGGAGCTGTTTCCATGTGCTGGACATGTTTTACTCTGATCTGTTGAATGCAGGTAGGGTTTCAGCCCTGGAGTCACCATTTCACCGCGATGGATTTGAGTTTCACTGTGTAGTTTGTTTTCCCCCTTGTAAGAGTACCAACTGCTGCAAGTGTTTTTACTGAATACTTTTACTCGCTGTTGTAGGTCTTCTCCAAAATACTTTAGGCCTTATGTTTCCAATATCCATGGCAACAAATGTATGTCTGACTGGTTTGATGTCACAAATAACTTTCTCTCTTGACCTGCTGGGCTTGAATCTCAGATTTAAAGCCTATAGGCTCATAGCAAATAAATGAGACATTTCTTGCCCAGATCTGAACTTGTTTGATTGAATATTGATGATCAGTTCCCCACAGTCCTAGACTGTGCATCTGAATAAGATGAATAATTCAGAACCTAACTAATGTAAATTGTAACTGAAGTTTATTACTGCACAGTCGTACGCGAAGTGTTAAGCCTAGTTTGTGCATGGTAAAGTTCAGAGTGATGGTATCGGGTAGCTTTTCCAAATGACCAACATAAAAGAATTCTGCATTTAAACTAGTGCTCAGCGGTAGAGCAGTGTCTCTGTTGCATGAGTCAAAACCGGAGGTAAGAAATGGCCTCTCACCAGCATGTAGACAATACGTGAGTCTTTACTACTTACAGCCATTATGTAGGGGACATGCCTCTTCCCCCGCCTCCCCAGATTTTTCTGACGATGGTTATAATGCAGAGAACAACAGCTCCATCAGTAGATGGTGTAAATATTAAAAATACTACTTGCAGTCACACTGTGGTGTTGATGTGGGAGACTCGGGACTGTGTTGCCTGTGCTTATGGAAATGAAGCTGGAGGTGTTCTGCTGCAGACCGCTTCCACAGGCTGAGCCATTACGTGGGCACCGAGAGGTCCTCTTCACCCGCTATTCCAACCGTGAATAACGTTAGCAGTAAGGAAAGGGATGATAGTATTAAGAATTAAAAAAGAAGGGAGGTGATACTCCTTTGAAAGTGTGTGTTATGAGTAATTCTTAGTATTATGGAATTACTCAGATTTCATGTTTCCTACTGTAGGATGCTAGTTTAAATGTGGTTGTAATGGGGGCATGAAGAAATCTGGACCTTGTGCTTATCCACCTGGGCATTGTAATGGTTCCCGTTGTGGGAATAGCTGATCGACACTTGGTTGAAGACACCAATAATCTTGCTCTGTTTCATTTCATTTGGTAGAGGAAGTCTCTTTCTTCTGTAGTTTACGTTCTGTTGTGCACATGAATGTGAATGGGTGTTTGTGTGTCTTTGTGTGAAGACTTCATTAATAGGTAAATATACCGGTGAGAGTTTTTTCTGGTGCTTTTCATCCCCATGCTCTCCGCATCTCCCCGGTCATTTATTTCTGGAGTTTGCTTGTTCCGATGATTGTGACCAGTCTTACTTAACTTAAAAAAAGCAACATTCACATTTGGGTCTGACTTTTTTTTTTTTGCACTCCTTGACTATGCAGATTTCAATTAAACATCACTTTAAGGAATGTGAAAAAGAAAACTCATTAATAAAGATGTTATTTATGAAGTGTCTCATTTTGTTTTTACATCACAACTGTTCTTTGAGAAATGAATGCCGATTTCTAAGATACTCATATCTACTTCTGACAAAGTGGCCTGTATTTCACTGCAGTGACCCCACATGCTAGCGTCTGTGGGTTGAATAAGATCTGTTTTGCTTGGATTTAATGAAACTTGGGGTTTAGTATGTACTGTGTAACTGAGAGGCATTGCTGTATTTCAGTCTTGGTTTAATAAATTTTTCAGCGACAATTACTGGCATTGGAGATGGGAAGGATCCTTGAGCTTTCTCATTTATCCTCTTGCCAGATAGAGATTATTTCATTAATATTTCATTAATATTTCTGTATTCAGTGTTCAGGTACTGTCTATGATGTGCCAGAGATGACCTGTGGCATTCCCTGGAATACAATACCTGCATGCATGTGAGCTTTATTGTATTTTAATAATTAGAATTGAACATCAAATAGAACATTTGGCATCCATTTTCTTCTGACCTGACTTTAGTTATAAATATGATGGTGGTGCTCTCCAATCACAGTGAATTCACAGGTCTGCTTGAAGGCAAATTGTTCTTCTCTTGCTTGTACTGTCAGAGTATTCGGTTGTTACCAACCAAAGTCCAGTATTTTTATCAACTACAACATGCTTAGATTTAGTGTAAGTAACATCATTGTTAGTTATATTAAAAACAGCCTGATCCACTGGCTGTTAATGGGGACATGTATCTTGCACTTAGATAAACCACTCTTTGCACTAGTATCTCAGTGTGGAACTAACACTTTCTGTTTTGAAATGTGAGTGCTCTGAATGTTTAAAAGCATAATTTATATAATAAACTGCAGAAGAAAAGCTAAAGATGAATGTGTTCTTAAACATGTTCTTAATGTGGTGTTTGTTATCATGTTATCCCATCCCATGCTTGAAATTTAGCTGTCGGGAATAGAAAATAAAAATCTGACTTGGGAGTTTGAAGAAAAGGGACTCTAAACAGGTAGTTCTTGTCAAATTATCAAAACCAGGAAAAAAGTGTGCTGATTTAGTATGTGGTCTAGTAGTGAGTTTGGTTTTTTCAGCTGGGTATAGTAATAATTCAGTCTCTTCTTTGCTAGGGTTTCTGTTCATGTGTGCATGGAAGCAAATCCTCTACTCGGAAAACTCTTTGAGCATGGAAAAGATGACATTTCCCTTGTTGCAATTATTTTAAAATGAGATGGAAGGATCTGATCTTGGAGGTGAATGATAGTGTCTTAGAATCCAGCTGCCCTCGAGGATTTGCAGTGTTGGTGGGACTGTATCGAGTGGGGATTGCTGCTGAGTTTAGGTGCTTATCAAACTGAGTGCACTCAACCCTGTTTGACACAGCCCACGGGGAAAGTGTATTAACCTGCTGTGATAGAGAACTGGTTTCCAGTCCTGAGTATGTTCTCCTAATGTTCTCCTTAGTTTACGTTTTTCAAATTATTTCTTACTTGACTGCTTTTGAACTAGAATTAGAAATTTGTTTGGTGGTGAGCAGTGGCGGTAAAATAGTGATTACAAAACCATATCCATTTTTCTTATGACCCCATTTCTTATGGCACGTGTCCCATCATGGTAAGGTAACTCCTAATATTTTAGAGCCATTGATGCTTTTCCAGGATGTCAAAGCTTTCTACCTGCTAATGCTGCCTCAACATCCTTGTGAGGCAGAGGGGTTTTGTTTACCCTGTGAAGAAAGTGAGGTCTGGAGGGATTAGGTTGTACTCGGTGACTGCCTGAATAAGAGGAGCAACGCAACAACCACCAGCAACATCGAATGAAGCAATTCCTCCCTTATCCTGGGCGCTGTTTGTCAGTGTCCTAGAGAGAAGATGGAAGCCTTCATCACATGCAGGCTACTGAAGATACTGCACAGACCAGGTGTAAATCGATGGCATTTTGGGTCACCTCCTCTCGTATGCCTGTGTTCGTAGCAAAAAAGCTGCCGTAACCATGTACCATTCACCTGTGTTGCACCCAACTGTGACAATATTTAGTAGACAAGTTAAAAGAACGGCACAAAAACTTGCAATGTGTGGAGCGGGTGCAAAGCTTGGATCTAGTTGTAATTTCTGATTCTCTTTCCTAAATGTGCGATGTAAATAAACACTATCCTTGTAAAAGGAGAAAATGTAAAAGCATTCTTTCAGTATTTGGGTCCAAATGCCTGCTTTTGGCACAGGTAAATAAGAATTTATGTTGTTTGGTTAGATTTTTTTTTTTTTCCTCCCCTGCAAAGGTGGTACTTTGCTGTCAGACTGGCTTGATTAACTCCCCGGAGCAGCGCTAGCTGGAGCCAACCCATGGCGGTAGCGTGGGGCAGAGGTGAGCTCTTGGAGACCTGATCTCAGCAATTTAATGACACTTGAGTACCCAAAGCCAGGAGTAGGTGTCAAGGCTTTGTTGACAAGGGGTGTACTGTGACAAGCTGCTGCTCTGGGAAGGGATGGTGCTGGTGCTTGCAGGAGTGTGTGCAGATGGGGACACTGAGCGAAGGAGGGGAACCTGATCTTACCCTCTCGGGAGGATCTGAA